TTTTAAACAAGTGTCAGTGATGACATTCAACCATCCCAGCGATGGTATGCTATAATGGAATGAACACTATACTGGAAGTCAGAAGACTTGGATTCTGCTACTGTCCAAATGCAACAACTTAAGCAGGCAACTTTGCTTCTGACAGCCTCGGTTTATTCACTAGTAAAACAAGTGAGACTAGATAATCTATATCACCCTGTATTCTGTTGTTGTTCAGTGCCATCAAGTCGGTTCCAACTCATATTGACCCTATGTACAACAGAACAAAACACTGCCTGGTCCTGCACCATCCTCACAATTGATGTTACATTTGAACCCACTGTTGCAGCCACTATGTCAATCCATCTCGTTAAGGGTCTTCCTCTTTTTCACTGACCCTCTACTTCTCCAATCATGATGTCCTCTCCAGCGACTGGTCTCTTCTGATAACATGTCCAAAGTACATGAGACAAACTTGTCATAGTTCCTTCTAAGGAGCATTATGGCTATATTCCATAACTCTGTATTCTATAACTCTATAAATCATAACATTTTATTTTACTAAATTTAGATGTGTTTTTGAGATCACTGCTAAGTAAAATTAATAGCAGCACATATGGAAAAAGCAAACCGAAGAACTCCACAGGGACATTCACAGAGGTCTGTATGGTCTTAGATTTTCAAATGCAATGAGGGGAAGAAAAAAAAAAGTAGGCTGTTATCTGAAGACTATCCAAGTAATACCTTAACCACACAGGCTCCTGAAGTAGAAAGAACAGTAGAATAGTAAAAATATTAACAGCAAAACACCAATACAAGAATACCTAAATACAAAACAGATGATCTACCTACAGTTATTGCTACATTACAGAGGCTCTTCATAGTTTTTCAAGAGTTCTGAGTCCTGATAGAAAAAGAAACAAACAAAATGTTTTCTTAACCATCTATCTAAACTTACTTTTTGTATACTCACACCTAAAAAGGACAAAACATCAGGCAATCTAAAAACATATTTACGCACACAATTGATCTGCTTGACTATGCCTTCTACCTTTAAAGCATTAAATAACGTACTCTGAACATAGAAGGCACCTCACAAGTGAATGAACTAAAATACATGAATCTCTAATCTACAAATAAGCCTGTATATAATAAATTCTGATCAACCTCTACTACTTGCTTTGTACCGTATTCTAATAAAATCCAATATCTGTAAAAGCAAAAGAACAGATGGAAGTAGATATGCAAGACCTCTATGATTCCCAGGCATCAACAAGAATTTAAAATTACGATTAAAATACATTACAAAATACAATTAAAACTGAGTAACAAAAACAAACAAAAAACTGAACAAACAGCCTGATAATCTGCCTATATCAAAAGGCCTTTGCTTTCCACAGCAGATGGTAATGGTAAGAAAATCTTGTCACCACTTCACTTCACAAATTTTAAGAAAATGCTTTAAAAACCTTGACTGATCTAAACTTGCCTAGCCTTGGGACAAGTTTTTACTCAATTAAATTAAAAAAGCCACAAGTTAATTTCCAGAATTTCTTTTTTTTTTTTTAATTAAAAAGGACAGACCAAACACTTAAGTTTTACTATACGATTGAATCTAACAAGACATCCAGTTAAAAATATATATTCCTCTAGAGGCCACAGAGAGAATCACAGCTATATAGACATGTCACAGCAGATAACAGGTGTATTCTGATAAGTAGCAACGTGAACATATTTTTCTAACTAGAATCGTATGTTTATTCATTCAACAAATATTTGCAGTGTCAATATCCTACACAGGGGAAAAAAAAAAATTCTACATAAGGCCTTAAGTGTTTATAAAGATAAAATCAAAGAAGGGCCTATCCTGCCCTCAAGAGGAGATAAAACAGCTACATAAATACCTATAATACAAGATAGAAAGTGTTACGTGCCATGAGAGATGTGCAGACAAACCACAGGAGTGCAGAGGAAGCTGTTACTACCTTACAGAAACACAACCCTTTCAAATTGTTTAAAGCAATTTCATATGGACTAGCTCCTTTTAGGCTCACAGCAACCAATCCTAGGTGAGCAGGTGTTTTCCTAATATTACAGCCCAGGAAACTGAAACACATAAGCTTGATCATCTTCCATAATGTCACAAAGTTACAAGAAGAATCAGGACACATCCTATTATATTTTCTCCAGGGGTGGATGGTTAAGAGCTCGGCTGCTGAACAAAAGGTGGGCAGTTCAAATCCACCAGCCACTCTTGGAAACCCTATGGGGCAGTTCTACTCTGTCCTATAAGGTCACTAGGAGTAAGCTTCGACTCCAAGGCAAGTGGTTTGTAAAAAGGAAAGGTATTTTGGTATTGCAAGTAATCACTTCCTAATGTATCTATATATTTGTTTGCCAGTCACCATCGAGTAGATTCCTGGATATATATAAATATTAACCTTGATTTTCATTAACAGGTGTGCTTAAAGCAAGGCAAAGCAACTGTGTACTATAAATACTAAAACAAATAAATAAACTTCTACTAGATTTTAACAAAATTAGAAAATAAGATACGGTATTTCTCTCTCTCCGGCAACTTGTGATTATTTCTTCTTTAATTTTTACCACGTCTAAATAAGATTCTAAAATTGGTCTGCTACTCAGCCCAGGGAAGTACAAGTTGGTTCACCCAGTAAATACTCTCTCATGAAAGCGTACATAAAAACATTTTCAAAAAACTAAACAATGCCATCAACTCTTCGATTATCCACAGGACAATCACATGCATCAGCAGCTGTTTGATCAAAGTATGTTTACAGAATGAATGAATATTTTGGGGCATTTTAAAATCCCAGGCCTGTCGTTTTTGCACACTGCCATGTTTCGCCGCCCTTCGTTGCCTACCAGGGTGCACACAAGGAATGTACATTTCAACACAATCAGGATAAAATAATTAGGGAAGCAAATCTGATGCAAGTAAATATACTAATCCCAAAGATTAAAATTACCCATACCACTACTCTTGGAGGTTAACTCTGTTGAAGCGTCACTGTGGCATACAACATCACAGAGGAAACTGACATCCTAAACAACTACTTTTCATAAATATCACCTATTCCCACATCTTTTATATCTTTAATGCATGACTACACCTAATTCAGGCAATTCAAAGAATTCGGTCTCTTTTCATTAAGATTGATTACCAAATTGTAGTTTCTCAATCCCTCTTCCCCTAAAAAGAGGTGCACTCCTCGACTTCGCACGTTAAAATACCAATAATACAAGGCGAAAGATGAAGAGCTCTAATCTTTGCCATCACCACCACTACCCACCCCTCGCCATTAGACCCTGAAGTGGTTACAAAGGTAAACTAGTTTGTTCTTCACCCACTAGTCTATCGCTGTCACCCTCCCAAATCCCAAAACGGCCACCAACTCCACCTCAGATGAAGCCCAGGCCCGCCACCTGTCCCGGCCCCACCCGGGGACACCCAGCCCTCCTTCTCTTCTTCAGATGGCCCTCCAGCCTCCGCCGCACCCTCCCCATAGGACACCCTCTCCCGACCCCGGCCCGGACGCAGCCCTTTCTTCCTCCAAACTCCATAAGCCTCCACTCGCCCAACCCCAGCTCCCTCAGGCGCCCGACTCGCCTCATCGGCGGCCGAGGGAAAAAGGGAGCGGCTGGGGCAAGTCCCGACCTTGCAGGGCTTGCGACGCCCCTCTCCCGGTCAAGAAGCCGTCCCCGCGGCCGGTGTCCTGCGAGCCCTCGGAAGCCCCTTGGGCGAGCAGGGACCCGGAGGCCGGGCTGCGGGCGCCGGGGCCTACTTACCGGGAACTGGCGGAGCGTGAGGCCCTGCGCGCCCCCCGACTTGAGGAGCACGACGCGGCCCAAGCGCGCGTCCTCACCCCGGGACCTCGTTCGGAACAGCCGAGCTGGGCGCTCACTCCAGCCGCCGCCGCCGCCGCCACTGCTGCTTCGCCACCTTGGCCGCCATCTTGACTCAACCCCTCTCCCTCCCCCCCCACCCCCAGCCCAGGCGGCCGCGGCTACGGCGACTTAGGCGACGGCTCCTCCTCCTTCCGGAGGGTTAGGAGACCAACTCCCTCCGCTGGTCGAGCGCGGCGCCTATCTCAGGCGAGCTTTCTGAGTCGGGGCGCCCCTGGTCCCCTCATCTCTCCCCGCGGTCTGGCGGGGGCAGCGCGGTGCCCACCCGGATCCAGGCTGTCGCGTCCACCCCGAGCCCACCCAGGCAGGCCTCCGCGATTGGAGCCTTACCCCAGGCGTGGGAAAAGGAAGGGCTCAAGGCCTTGCTTGGGGCCCTGCGACCCCTCCACAGTACAGCGGGACGGCGGCGGCCTCCTGACGCCCGGGGCTGCAGAGAGGGAAGCCGAATCCCCGTGTAGCTGGGAGCCAGAGGGCTGCACGTCGACCTACCTAAAGTTGTTTGCTAGGGCTCAGGCTGTGATTCACACCAAGACTTCATTGAAATGCAGGGCGAGGCCACTTTATCACGATCTCGCTCCTTATTCTAAAGTAATTCCTGAAAGGAGCCTGTGACCCTCGCTGCTACGAAGTGCACGCTTTACTCTTCTAGTGAAGTGACTGGATGGTTCCTCGCAATGGCATACTTTTCCTTTAGAAAAGCCGCCACTTCGCATCCCAAAATTAAGATGGAAAAACAAAGTTAATGTTTCTGGCTGTTTTGGAAGACTTTCACCCGAGTAAAGAAAGGCCTGTCTAGCCATATAATTAGGAGAAAATCCCGGGTTTTAAGAAATGAGTTATAAAATTATGACTTAAAGAGAGGAGGGAACTCTTCCTTCAAAAAAGTTCTCTCAAATATTTGTTCGGTAAACCTTCACCTAAAGTAGAATTAAAAAAAAAAAGTTCTCTCTGTAAAGAGCCCTAGTGGCGAAATGGTTAAACACTCCGAATGTCGGTGGTTGGAACCCACTAGCTGTTCTATGGGAGAAAAGACCTGGAGATACGCTCTCATAAAGATTATAGCCTAGGAAACCGTATGGGGCAATTCTACTCTCATATAGGGTCACAATGAGTTGGAATCCACTCGATGGCACACAACAACACTAAAATAGGACAAGGGTAGAAAACTGGACTGCATGCGGTTCAGTTCTGCTCTGAAACCGAGCAAGCAACAAGAAGACTTCGTAAAATGCTGGGAAAACTGGAGAGAACTCGATTATGGAGTGTTGGGAAGCTTCCCTGTTACACGTCTCGGAAAGCCACAGGACAAACCCTAAGTTTACGCAAAGTACCTGAGCTCGTCAGAAGAGCGATTAAACTGCGGAACGCAGGTTCCGGGAGTGCCGTTTTCCCGCCGGAGTCTAGGTCGGCGCTAGCCTTCCCTACTGCGCAAGCGCGGTGTCACTTACTGAGCATGGAAATACTGGTTTTCCTGTGTTCGGCTGCGGCAGTCTTGGTATGGGGCTTTCTCTGGGCTTGGGACGCCTTGGAACGAATGAAGAGTTGGGAACAAACAGGCCAGCTGAGAGCGGGAAGCCGGACTCTCCTGGTCATTGCGCACCCCGACGATGAAGCCATGTTCTTTGCTCCCACAGTGCTAAGCTTGGCCCGCCTGAGGCACCGAGTGTCCCTGCTCTGCTTCTCCACAGGTAGGAGCCCGTGGTCAGGGGGCTGAGGGCTGGGCCGTACGCGGTTTTAGGTGCTAACCCATCTCGGTCACCTTCTCCCCTGCGGGTTTTCTGTTGTAGGGAGCTAAGTGAGTACAGAACGTCCTTTCTCTAGGCTTCTCACAGAGAATCGGGGGCCCCCGGCTGGGAACAGGAGAGAGCGCAGATGGGTTGGAGGGACATCCGCAGTTTGTTCACTATCCGCTAGCAGGATTGAGGAGCGGAAGAGAACTGCTCAGAATTGGTTCCATTCGATACCTGCATTTCTGTGGAGAACTGCGACTGTACTCGTTATTTTGTGGAAGCTTGTTCTTTGCAGATGAACCAAAAATGATCATGTCATTATATAGTACACCAAACAGACTCTATGCTGTATCCTGTCTACTCAGTTCTTAACGTTTTACTTTTGATGATAGCAAAGGACCTTCCTGCTTCTTTTAAAATCCTTTTGGTGCAAAAAAGATGTGTGTGTCAAATTGAAGTGGTAGACTCATAGGTCATTAGACTAGAAGGTAATTTTTTAAAAGTTTTCCAGTTCAACTCCACTCAACTTTCAGTGAAGGGTCCTTTCGAAGAGTAAGTCTTCTCAAATACAGAAAAGATCGAATGAGAAAACAAAAATTGCCCATGATACTGGATTATGGTGATGATTGCACAACTGTATAAATAAATTGAACTGTACACATACAATGAGTGAATTTTATGGTAGGTAAAATTATATCTCAATAAGAGGTGTTTTACAAAAAATTGTCCACGACCTCTTTTCCCATTTCGTTGTGTGTCTTTCCAGTTCTTATTCTATACAGTTTTTTCACAGAAATCACATTTTATACAATTTTGTATTCTTTTTCACTTAGGCTGCTACTTGGGTATTCTAGGAAAATTTGCAAGCCTTAAGCAGGAAAATCCTTTAAAGAATTTAGCAACCAGCTACCACAACCTGCCCCTGGGGGATCTCAACCTCACTAGCATCCCAAATACTTTATGTATTCTTTATTTTCCCAAAATATAGACTACACTCCATAAGAATACTTACGGTAAACATAACTCCTCTATATCCTTACAAATAATATGCAGTGAAGTCTTTATGTAGAGGTCTCTTTATTTGTGCCCAAACTTTATTTCCTGTTCGTCTGACTTCAGGCCACCAGAGATACAAAATACACTCAAGGTACCCTGGCTTCAGTTCTACCATAAAAAAAAAAAAAAAAAAAAATGCGTTGTCATTGAGTCAGTTCCAACTCATGGCAACCATACATTGCCTGGATTCATGCTTACCTATTGTTTCAGGCCTCCAAATATAGCCTTACTTTCCTGCTAATTCAGACATGTATTTTAAAACATAGTTGCCTTTTAGCTCACGTGTTTAGGTGTTCTATGCTAAGAGGCTTTCTTCAGACAACTGAGTCCCATATTCCCTAAAACAGAATTTATCAACTTATTTTTAATATTGTAATTTCATCAAGAATAATTTTTCATGCACTTTATCACTACTCTTATTCAACATTGTGCTGGAGGTCCTAGCCAGAGCAATTAGGCTACAAAAAGAAAGAAAGGGCATCCAAATTGGTAAGGAAGAAGTAAAAGTATCTCTGCAGATGATATGATCTTATACACAGAAAACCCCAAAGAATCCACAAGAAAACTACTGGAACTAATAGAAGATTTCAGCAAAGTGTCAGGATACACAATAAACATACAAAAATCAGTTGGATTCCTCTACACCAACAAAGTGAACTTCGAAGAGTAAATCACCAAATCAATACCATTTACAATAGCCCCCAAGAAGATAAAATTCTTAAAATAAATCTAACCAGAAACGTAAAAGACCTATACAAGGAAAACTACAAGACACTACTGCAAGAAACCAAAAGAGATCTGTATAAGTGGAAAAACATACCTTGCTCGTGGATAGGAAGACTCAACATTGTGAAAATGTCAGTTCTACCCAAAGCGATCTACAGATACAATGCAATCCCGATCCAAATTCCAACAGCATTTTTTTTTAATGAGATGAGGGAACAAATGACCAACTTCATATGGGAAGGAAAGAGGCCCCGAATAAGTAAAGCATTACTGAAGAAGAAGAACAAAGTGGGAGCCCTCACACTACCTGATTTTAGAAACTATTATACCGCCACGATAGTCAGAACAGCCTGGTACTGGTACAACAACAGATACATAGACCAATGGAACAGAATTGGGAATCCAGACGTAAATTCGTCCACCTACGCAGCTGATATTTGACAAAGGCCCAAAGTCCATTATTTGGGGAAAAGACAGTCTCTTTAACAAATGGTGCTGGCATAACTGGATATCCATCTGCAAAAAAATGAAACAAGACCATACCTCACACCATGCACAAAAACTAACTCAAAATGGATCAAAGACCTAAATATAAAATCTAAAATGATAAAGGTCATGGAAGAAAAATAGGGACAATGCTAGGAGTCCTACTACATGGCATAAACAGAACACGAACCGTAAGTAACTGCACAAACACCAGAAGAGAAACTAGGTAACTAGGAGCTCTTAAAAGTCAAACACTTATGCTCATCAAAAGACTTCACCAAAAGAGTCAAAAGACAGCCTACAGACTGGGAAAAAAATTTTGGCAATGACAAATCCAATCAGCAACTAATCTCTAAAATCTACAAACTACTGCAAAACTTCAACAACAAAAAGACAAATAACCCAGTTTAAAAAAGGTGAAATGATATGAACAGGCACTTTGCCAAAGAAGACATTCAGGCAGCTAACAGACACATGAGGAAATGCTCACAATCAATAGCCATTAGAGAAATACAAATCAAAACTATAATGAGATACCATCTCACCTCAAAGAGGCTAGCAATAATCCCAAAAACACAAAATAATAAATGTTGGAGAGATTGTGGAGAGACTGGAACACTTGTATACTGTTTGTGGAGATGTAAAATAGTACAACCACTTTGGAAATCGATTTGGCGCTTTCTTAAAAAGCTAGAAATAGAAGTACCATACAATCCAGCAATCCCACTCCTTGGATTGGAATAGCCTAGAGAAATGAGTCATCATATGAATAGATACATGCACACCCATATTCATTGCAGCACTGTTCATGATACCAAAAAGATGGAAACAACCTAGGTGCCCATCAATGGACAAATGGATAAATTATGGTATATTCACACAGTGGAATACTATGCAACGATAAAGAGCGATGAATCCGTGAAACATCTTGTAACGTGGAGGAATCTGGAAGGCATTATGCTGAGTGAATTTAGTCAATCGCAAAAGGACAAATATTGTATAAGACCACTATTATAAGAACTCAAGAAAAGGTTTAAACACAGAGGAAAACATTCTTTGATGGTTATGAGGGTGGGGAGGGAGGAGGAGGGGTATTCACTAACTAGATAGTAGACGAATTAGGTGAAAGGAAGGACAACACACTACAGGGGAAGCACAACTGGACTAAACCGAAAGCTAGAAAGTTTCCTGAATACAACCAAACACTTCAAGGGACCAAGCAAGGGCGGGGATCTGGGGACCGTGGTTTCAGGGGATATCTAGGTCAATTGGCATAACAAAGTTTATTAAGAAAATGTTCTGCATCCCCCTGGTGAGTAGCATCTGGGGTCTTAAAAGCTAGCAAGCTGCCATCTAAGATAGATCAATTGGTCCCAATCCACCTGGAGCAAAGATGAATGAAAAATACCAAAGACACAAGGAGAGTATTAGCCCAAGAGACAGAAAGGGACACATAAACCAGAGACTGCATCAGCCTGAGACCAGAAGAACTAAATGATGCCCAGCTACCATCAATGACCACCCTGACAGGGAACACAACAGAGAATCCCTGATGGAGCAGGAGAAAAATGGGGTGCAGAACTCAAATTCTAGTAAAAAGACCAGACTTAATGGTGTGACTGAGACTGGAGGGACCCCGGAAGACATGGCCCCTGGACTCTCCGTTAGCCCAGAACTGAAACCATTCCCGAAGCCATCTCTTCAGACGAAGACTAGACTGGCCTATGGGACATAAAATGATACTCGTTAAGAGAGTGCTTCTTAGCTCAAGTGGATGCATGAGCCTAAATGTGCAGGTCCTGTCCGAAGGCGAGGTGAGAAGGCAGAAAGGGACAGAAGCTGGTTGAATGGACATGGGAGATCTGGGGTGGAAGGAGAGCAGCTAGGGTCACATAGCAATTAGTGTATAAATTTTTGTATGAGAAACTGACTTGAACTGTAAACTTTCACTTAAAGCACAATAAAAAATAAAGAATAATTCCTCAGTTTTCATTGTTGGGATGCATTTAGATTCAGCCTCAAAAATGCTGGTCTCTCTAACTCTATCCTTTCTGGCCCAATACATTTGGGATTTCTAAAGAAATAGAATCTTAAGTATTGATTGTATCCTACTAAGAATAGAATAAATTAGTAATATTTTAAATTATGAATTATATTTCTTTAAGGGAGTTATAGAAACTTTAGAACACAATTCAAAGATTGCATTCATCTGGTCATATCATGCAATTTTATCTACATAGATAAAAATAGGTTCTTTAAGGTTTAGGTGGATATAGTTTCCATATGTTCATGCCAACCAAAGAATACATAGGCATCAGTGACAACTAAAAACCCCAAAACCAAACCGGTTACCATCAAGTCAATTCCAACTCATAGCAGCCCTATAGGACAGAGCAGAACTGCCCCATAGGGTTTCCAGAGAGTGGCTGGGGGATTTTAACTTCCACCCTTTGGCTTAGCAGCCAAGCTCTTAACCACTGCGCCACCAGGGCAAAAAAAAAAAAAAAACGTAGCCACCGAGTCCATTCCGACTCAGAGCAACCCTATAGCAGTGCCTATGAATTCCTAAGTATGATGCCAGTGTGACTGTTTATAAGAATTGTATGCATTTCTGATTGTACGTTCACTTTTTTTTTTAATTCAGCTTAGAATTTATATGCCATGTCCCCTGTTTTGAACTAACATAGTGT